AACATTGGTAAATTTCATAGTTTTCTTTATTATATTTAATAAAAAAAAAATCTTATTGATAATAAGTTTTGATACAAATTTCATGTTTGGAAATTATAGAAATTTAAGTTTTTTTTTTTCAACTAAAATCATAAAATTTTCTATAAATATTTGACCTATTTTTGTTTATTAAATTTATTGACAATAAGTTGTAGAAGAAATTTCAAAATTATATCAAATTATTTCATTACATAATATAATAAAGCAATTAAACAAGAAACTGAAATATCAAAAAAATATAGAATTTTACAAATAATTTGAGATTTTCTTGTGTCAAAATTGTGTATTACAAATTCGTTTACATTTAATTAATTAAATAAATGTTCAGTAACTTAAAAAGATGAATTAAATATAAAAATTTTCTTCGTTCGTTTTTCTCTAATCGATAAATCAGTTCATCATTTTCCTCGTTTCACTAGTTAAACGGCCCAAGTATTGATTGAGCCTCATTAAGGGCGGAGCAAAATATAATTTTTTTCCCAATAGGTTTGCGTGTAAACTCATTCGAGAAGAAAAAAACCACAACATCGTTTTTCTCTGCATTTTATTCCCAGAGAATTTATATAAACTCACATTATTCAATCGGTGCAGCTTTTTAAACAACTATAGATAAATATTAAATTTATAAAGTTTTTATGAAATAATGCAGGTATTAATGATTAATATACAAATACAGGTAATCCTCAAGTAACACTGTACTTTATTTACACGAAGTCTGGAATAACGCGGTCAAAAATTGCAGTACTTTAAATACACGATTTTTTTTTAAATTTTAAAGTAAAAAAGTATAAAGTTTACTTTTTCACAATTCTTTTTCAAAAATTTTGTACAGTTAAGAACATATTCTATAATTAGGTTTCTGGAATTGAATGTAGTAATCCTCAAATAACGCCGTCAAAACTTTAGTACTTTAAATGCACGATTTTTTAACGTTAAAGTCAACTTTCAAGTTTAAAGTACTTTACATACACGATGTCTTTAAAGTTAAAGTAAAGTTTAAAGTATACTTTTTCGCAATTCTTAAAAGCGTATATATAATTTTGTACAGTTAAGAACATTTTTTAAAATAAATCTTCTGAAATCGAATGGTTAATTATATTTGGTTCTGGAATGCATTTTTAACATATATTAAAATACAAATACAGGTAATTCCTTAAATAACACGACAATTGATTTACACGGAGTCTCGAATAACGCGATAAAAAATTATAGTACTTTAATAGTACGATTTTTTAACGTTTAAGTAAAAAAAGTATAAACTATACTTTTTCACAATTCTTAAAAGCATCGTTTTTTGACATTGAACAAAAAATTAAGTAAAAATAAAGTTTAAAGTAAACGTTTTCACAATTCTTAGAAACGTCTTTGTTTACTTTGAGCAACATTTTGTACATTTAAGAACATATTTTAAAATTAAAATTCTGGAATTGAATTTCCATTTATATTTGGGTTTGGAGTATTTCAATAACACGATTGTAAAGAGCACGGAACTAATTAACCGTGTTATTCAAGTATTGACTATATTTGGTAATTAAAAGCTATAATTAATAAATAAATTCCATAAATCCATTAATTGAACAAAATTTCTAACATAATAAGATTATATAAAATAAAAACTAAAAAGAAAATCATAAGTTTTCGCTGTGAAAAAGTAAATAAATAAGAAAGAAAAATCAAACAGAATAAAAAAATAACATTCTTCGTTCATCATTTTTCAATTACGGTTTCGATCGGAGATAGGGAAAACGATCCGACGAAGTCTGTGCGATCGAGCGAGGTGTGGTTTCGAACAATTGTTAAATTCGTAATTGAGAGAAAGTTTTTAATTAAAATTTATATACTCAGCCAATATACAATATATTACATATAAAAATACATAAAGTATATACTACGTTTTTTATTTACTTATTTATGAATATCGAGGTTCTTGCATTCAGATCACGTAACGAGTCGAATTAAAATTGTTATAATTTTAATTAAATTACGTCACGTTTAATTAAATTAGGCCATTTGCGAAATGGAAACTTTTATTGGTTTTTATTTTGATGTAATTGTTTGTACTTGTTGTTTGGATTGTCGGCATCGCGTGAAACGTTAAACTGAAACCGTTTAATTACGAATCGGTTGACGTATTGTAATATTAATTAAAGTTCGGTTTTGTCTCATCTTTTTTTCTCTCTCTGTGTGTGTGTTTCTGTGTCTGTAATTTTCGTGCATGAAATATGCAAGGCGAGATACATTATGCACGTTGCGCATAATAAATGTCCGTTTGGCGGCGCGAGGGGCCGTTTAATGCCGTTTATAATGGGGAAACCACCTTCTCCTAGACCACAGAATATGGTTTATTTAATTCCTGCTGGAATTTTGATTGAAAATCGTAATGATAATATTGGAAATAAATAAGAAAACACCGGGTCATGATTTAATAATGAAGTCGTGAAATAAATTATGTTCCTTCGGCACGGACACTCAGGCAAAACTCTTGCATACACACACACGTACATACGTATATATACACATACACACATTTACTTACACACTTGAACACTCCGTATGAAATATCGATTTTGATATTTACGTAAGTGAAATGTCAAACCCTCCTCTGCGGCTGCACACAAGTACACTGATTTCCAAATTTATTTATACTTTTAACTACTTTCTTAATACGAAACTCTAATCTTTTATTACACTGTTATTATTTTGAAACTATTGAAATTGTGAAGATAATCATAATCATTGTATATTTTCTAATACACCTATTCCAGAGAAAAACGTGTAAATTGAAATTGTAACATTTCTGATGTAAAACCGTGTAAAAGCGAAAACTTCTAAAGAAAGTTCCGTGTAATAGGAGGGATAGGTGTATATATAAAGTTGTATAATAAATGTAGTTAATATTATCTATTTTTTAATATTTAAAATATAAACTAATAGTTTAAAAATTTATAACAAGAAATTAAATTTCACGAAGTAATTAATTAAATTTACTAATACATTTTTTAATTGTGAAATGTATAATTTAAAAAAAGATAACAATTATTTGATTTATCTTATATATAAAAATATTGACATAATAATGTATATTTCTTTCATGTTTTATTTATTACGTAATTTTAAATCATTATGAGAAATCAATTCTACGTGTTTTTCATTATAATTTGAACATTTTTCATAAATATTTTTGCTTGTTGCATAATTTTATACGTTTAAATCAACGTAAGAACATTTATTTTTGTAATTACATAATTTTAACTTAAAAGATTTATAAGCAAAATCCAAATTTATAGAAATTACTACGAATAACTTTACTTAATTGTCTCATGAAATATTAATTCATTATGCTTTTATATATTTCAGTTATTACATAATTTTATACTGTTAAATCAATTGAAGAAGTGAATTACATAAAAAAAACGTATGTTTTTTTACTATTCTTTAAACGTTTTTAGTTATATTGATTATTATGATTATTACAATAATTTTATAATTACGAAATTTAGCATTGAAGAAAACTCCGAGTTTATAGAAATTACCAACAAACAAAATATGTAATTGTTTCATTAGATACTTAGAAACTTTATAATTTGAAATCAATTTAAGTAGTGATGTTCATTGAAAAATCTAAAGTATAATGAAAAATACGTTCATTTTCATTATAATTTGAATATTTTTCATAAATATTTTTGCTTATTGCATAATTTTATACGTTTAAATCAATGTAAGAACATGTATTTTTGTAATTACACAATTTTAACTTAAAAGATTTATAAGCAAAATTCAAATTTATAGAAATTACTACGAATAACATTATGTAATTCTCTCATGAAATATTAATTCATTATGCTTTTACATATTTCAGTTATTACATAATTTTATATTGTTAAATCAATTGAAAAAGTGAATTATACTTTAAACGTTTTTAGTTATATTGATTATTATGATTATTACAACAATTTTATAATTACGAAATTTAACATTAAAGAAAACTCCAATTACCAACAAAAAGATATGTAATTGTTTCATTAGATACTTTGAAACATTATAATTTAAAATCAATTTAAGTAGAGATTTTCATTGAAAAATGTAACGTATTTTAAAAATACTTTAACAAATTATCAAATTACTAAATATTGAAAATCTAATATTATAATAAGAAAATAGTTCCAAACGTACTTAATTTAATATTATGATACAAATTATAGGTTTACCAAATGCGTAAATGCTTCACTATTATCCTACAGCATTTTTGTTACGTTTACAAAACAAAACAAAAAACCTGTAATTAGACAAATTTCTATCATTACTTCAACAGCCGAACGTTTAATATTGACTTACGAAAATGAAGGAACAAAAAAAAAATCACGTTTAAATTAATATTTTCTTTCGTTTTTTCTCTCTCTTTCTTTGTGTTGTATGCTGGTTATTATTAGTAGATGCATTTATATGAGAACCCACCCTGTGTTTACGGCGGAATAAATTACAAATTGTTTCTTGTATTTTTCTGTAATAGTTGGGTAATTATGAAATAATTGGCTCGGTTTTGGATTTTCGTTCTTCTTTATCTTGTTGCTGTTCTTCTTTTATATCTTCATGTCCGTCTTCTTCATGATCATCGACTTCGTCGATGTTTCCTTCTCTTTCTGCGCTGCGAGGATAGGATAGGAAGGAGAAGACGTTTTTGCTGAGGCCGTAGAAATATTTTCGCATAATATATAATGTAATAGTTTCCATCTGGCAACCGATCATTAGTTAATCGAATAATCGCATAATTGTAGCAGGAGAGAGGAATTAGCCAGGGTCTCTTCTCTGTCCGTTCCGTTCTGTTCGGATGTGGTGGTATGGTATGATGATGGCTTTGGTGGATAGATGTTGCGAGTGGAGGTAGGATGGAGAGTGTTGGTTGGGTCCTCTCCGGTTGCGAAAGAGATGATTGTATTGTAGTTGGATAGGTTGGTTCGTACCTATACCTGGTATAGATAGTATATATATATAGGTAGTGGTGGATCGTGGTTGTGTTGGTAGTGGTGGTATAGTGTAGTGGGAGTCTTCGGGGCCTGGGGTAGACATGAACGCGTGAAGGCATCCTCGGCAATTACACTACACCCGGACAGAGAGAGCCTCGGCTATATCATGCACACGCCTCGGGCAATACTGATTACACTAATCACCTTAATCGAACCCCATGCGTACCGATTATCATTCAAATTTCATACAGCACCGCCGGCCAATCATTATATCCATATATACATTTATCATTTTACTGTTCTTTTAATGGTTTCGATCTGGCTGTAATTACATATCGATGCGAACAACTAGGAATCAATATGGTTTTAAATAGCTCCGATAATGCACAAAATAAACGGCTCTTATTTGCCATCGTTACCATCGCGGCCCCGCGGAGCCATCAACCCCAAAGGACTACTACTTCTACTAGTACTCTCCTCCAAACCGAAATCGCTCACCTCGTCGTCGCCACGACCCGTCGTTTCCTCAATACACACACACAATCCACAAAACCTTCTAAGTATACACCGTTTACTCGCATACCTATGATGTTATTATGCCCTCAGCGCATAATCCGAATTAATCATGTAACAACGACATCTCATAACCAGACTACAAAAACATTTAACTAGAAAGTTACCATCTCACCAAACAAAAATATATTTACCAACTTCAGAACATATACTTCAAAAGTATTATTACTGAAATATATAAAATAAGTATAGTTCACACGTATTTCAAATTATCACCCTTGAAGATGTATGATCTTAATAATGGAGGTTATTTTTTTGTAAAAGTAATAATTATGAATTATCCTTGAACCAAATTGTTCGAGATGATGTGAATCCATTTTATAAAAATATACTTGTATATTTATTGGATCTTAACATTGACTTGTTGAAATATTTGCTATCTATAATAGAAGAAATAAATAATTAAAGTTTTGATGCTAACCCTTAAGTGTGTCCCAAAATGAACTGATAATAAAACACATTTTCATTTGATAATTGATAATATTTTTTCTTTATTAGAAAGTAGAGACATGGAGGTTTTGTGCAATTTCACTCTTTTGATGAAAATTTCCATAACATTTTGTGCTGCTGAATGTCGGCAATCTCATCTTTAAGGTCATAAATAGTTTATTGATGTACAATTTATCCTTAAGATAACTCTAAAGAAAAAAGTATAACGTTGTCAAGTTACATGATCTTGATGACGCATCACCGAATTGTACGTAAAATCTTCACCATTTTTTAAGTGAATTTTTTCAATTTTTACGCATTTTTCGATCGTGCACTTTTCCATAATGTAACCTCAATGTTTACTAATGGCAACATTTAAAAATCTCAACTCTGGTTTAACCGCGAAAAAAATGGCGGTAAATTTAAAATGTCAGTTCTTTTTGGGACATCATTTATTTCTATAACAATTAGAACGAAATTCACTACTTTTAATAAACCTTATTGTATAAATGTTACGGCAAGTATTTAAGTATTCAAGTACGTTTATTAATAAATTTGTTACAAAGTTCAAAAACCAATCATTAATAATTGCATTCCTCAAACAAGACAAGTACTTCGTAAATTACTTTGCAAGTTACAAGTAGTGTTCACAATATATGTTTTCATAATTAGTTGTTTCATCAGTCAATAAATTTACATTTTCATATTTTTTTTTTCACTTTTACATTTTTATAATTAATTTGTTTAAATAATTATTGACATTACTTTTTTTTACGATTTGTACTAGAAATTATTGAGTACAAATATGTGAATATTTCCATATGGAAATTGTTGAAGAATAAGTTTTTCTGTCTATAATGTATTCTTCGATAATAAACCGATATATTCTCATGGTAGGAAAATCATAGCTTATTGTAAGTGCAGGTTGTAATTTGAATGAAAATGTGTGTGCACTCGGTATAAGCTGTTATAATCGTGCATCTCTTACGCGAACAAAATTAATTGGACTAAGTAAAATCAATGGAGTAGATTTTGATGATTCCAGTTTTGCTGGTGATTACAAAGCACGGCTAGATCTCATATGAAAGGGCAGGCTGCACGTGAAACGATAATTAAACCTACATAACTTCGACGTTACTAATATTAGAAGCATCGCCCATCATTTAGAAGGCACCTAGCTAAACTAAATAACACAGTAAAATCCTCGAGGAAAGTGCAATTTAATGAGCAAGAGAATCAACGAAATTACACGCAATTTCCCTCATCGATCGGATTGAAATTAGCGGAAGTTAATTGACCAATCCTCGACGCTTCATTCGCGTGTCTCAAGAAGGGACGAAAGAGTAAGGGTTTGTTTTATTTGTAGAATTTCAATTCTTAGGGGTTTTCGAGGATTTGAGTCGCGTGTTGCCATCGGAGGTGTGCATTTCAATATTAATTGATAATTACGAAAAGCGGAATTCGCTTTTCGCGTGTAAATAATTACGGTTTCGAAATGGTAATTGAGTTCGTGGAAAACGCGGAAAGGTTAGGCGCGATTTTCGGGGCATTCATGCTCTCATCACCCTTTTCCCATTAATTAATTAAAGTTTTCCCGGAATTGAAGACGTAATTACTTGAAAAAAAAAAGCAACACCGCTTCTAGGAAGTTTAGTTTTTTTTATGTAGTGGTGGTGGTCGGTTTTTCGCAGGTTAGGCTTTCGCTTTGATTGGATTATAATGAAATTGTCTATAGCTAACATCTTCATAGAATGTAGACTGCGTCGATCTGAGGGGCTCTTTCTTTCTCGGAAATTTCGACAAAGGAGTCGTGAAAAAGCTCGTCGCTGATTCGTCTGGGTTGTTCAAGTGGTGCAGATCTCTCTTGGTCGTGGATTCGTCACGTGGCACGGTATTACCAGGCAATTAAATTTTTGAATCGCCAGTAAATTGCCGCCACGGTCATCGCATCTTATTATTATTAGTACTACTACTACTATTGCCACCACCATCAACCACACTAGTACTTGCCTCCAATCCTTGCAAAATTGCCACTTTTTGTGTATCCAGCAAATAGAAACGATAACTTAAAGTACAGATAATTTCCATACAGATAAAACTCACACACAATAATTCTCTTTATTACTTTTATTACAACAATAATAGAAACAATAAATTATAATAAATTAAATTCTATAAACATTATTAACAACAATAATTAGATAATTATCCTTTTGATAATTTTTTAAAATTTAATGTTATTATTATACATAAATTGGTACATCAAACTGTAATGCTATTATTAACACTTTGATAATATTCGGCGGATATATTCGCCCTATCCTTTACATAGTAGACTTTGCTTATGCACAATTTTCAGCGACTTTTTCAGATAGAACCTTAAAAGCTTTGACATTAGTTCTGTAGAGAAACGCCACTATATAATAATACAAAACAAGAAACAGTTGAAAATGCGAATCTCCCTCAAAATAATATAAATCATTATTTAGATTGTTTCAAACTTATGATTTGATTACATGAAGGTTAAAATTATTGTACTATAAACAAAAGTTCGTTTCTAAATGCAATAAAATTATAGACTTTTATGTTGTACGAAGCATTAATCTCACTTATTTACATATATACTCACAAATTGAACATAATTTTTGCAAATTTATTAAAACATTTAAACTTGTTTATAAACTAAATAAAATAGCAGAATTTTTTTTTATATTAACTTTAGCTTTTTAATATACATTTATACAAAAACTTGCTAATACATCAATACCTCACGTAGTACTGCATCGATCAGTGCGTATTCACTATAGTCCGGTTGGAAAACTTCAAAACAAACTAAATTTTAATTGACAAAATTAAAAAAAAAATAGTACACAAAATGATTATTTTATCATTTTGTCTTATTTTATTTTTGTGCGGTTTTAAAGTCCTCGATTAGTCCGGTTTAAAACGTTCTGAGATATTAAGATTTTGATAGATTTACTAAGAATTAATAAAAAATAATACCAGTATTGGACTTGTATCAAAAAAATAAATTAATTTTTAAGATTTTTGATTAACAATAACTTTTGTTTAAAAGTATTTTACATATTTACATGCTTCGATCAGTGCGTATTCACTATAGTCCGGTTGGAAAACTTAAAAAGAAACTAAATTTTAATTGACAAAATACATTCTAAAAAAATGGTACACAATTTTGTCTCATTTTATTTTTTCTGCGGTTTTAAAGTCCTCGATTAGTCCGGTTTAAAACATTCTGAGATATCGATGGAAACGATTATCACAGATATTTTAAGATTTTCGATTAACAACAACTTTTGCTTAAAAGTATTTACATAAAAATTATTATAATTAATAAAAATATCAAATTCACAACTTTTTCTCTGAAGAATTACTTAAAAATCTCATCGACTTTATGCAACAATTAATTTTTCAGATAAAACCTTAAAATCTTTGACTTTAGTTCTGTAGAGAAACGCCATTACATAATAATACAAAAGAAGAAACAGTTGAAAATGCGAATTTGAAGAATCTCTCTCAAAATAATATAAATCATTATTTAGATACTTTCAAATTTATGATTGGATTACATAAAGATTTACATAAAAGTTCAAATTATTGTACTATAAACAAAAGTTGTTTAACATTTTGATCAAAAAAATAATTTACTCAAATTGAACAACATTTTTCCAAATTTATTAAAATATTTAAACTTGTTTATAAACTAAATAAAATAGAAGAATTTCAAATATATTAAGTAAAGCTTTTTAATATAAATTTATACAAAAAGT